AGGCAGCGCGGCGAGGGCAGCGGCGGCATCCCCAGCCACTCTGAGTCCAGGTGGTCAAACTGCAGACCGGGGGTCCAGTCAGCTGGCGCCCCCACAGTGCCAGCACCAGCCCAGCTCAGCCCCATCAGGCCACCCGGGTCACCAGGAGTCCAAGACTCCAGGCTGGGCCAGCGCAGGTGGAGGTGGTTTCTGGAGGCAGTGCCCGCCTCCTTTCTGGTTGAGAAAGCCGACCCCACCTCCACCCCATTCCTGAACTGGCAGGTGCCGGAAGATCGCCATGACAGCCCCAGGACAGGGCAGCTTTCCCCCGCCCTGGCCTTTCCCCTGTACACCTCCCTCCCTGCCCCCTGTTCTCTATCTCATCCCCTGGCACAGGAACCCCACCTACAGCCAGCTCTGCCACTCACCCTTAAAGCCCACACTGTAAGCCTGTCGCCCTGTCCACCTGGACAGTCTTATAATAACAGTCAGTGGCTCACCTTTTTGAAAAGTTTTCTGAAGACTGCGCCCTGTACTGATGAACCCTTATTCCTGCCATTTAACCTTCAAATGTCCTTATCTAGCAGGAGGAATAATACCCTCACTTATGAATGGAAGCCCAGAGGGAGTGAACATGTGCCCACCTGTGCCCACCACTCACTCGGCTCATTCTCCACCACCCTCCCCTTCGGGTCTCCAAATTCCACCCGAGTGGCAAGGCCCACACCTACATGGCCTGCCACCAGGAAGCCGTTTCTGCCCTCTGAGATCCCACAGTCCCACTACAACTTGGACTGGGCACCCCACTCTACTGGTCCTTCCTGTGCCTCAGTTTCCTCATCTGTATAATGGGAAGACTAGGTAGGATGATCCCTTTGTCTGGGACACACTCCAGTCCCCGACTCATGCAAAGGCCCTGCTCAGAACCCCTACACTGACCTTGCTCCTCCTCACTGTGCCTGACCCCAACCTTTGTGCAGGGCCCGGGCCTCCAACCTATCAGACCATCCCGGGGCTAACGTCCCCCTGAAGCTCAGTCACCAAAGCTATGGAGACTTTGTCCACTGTCTATCATCGTCTTCAGCTTTCAGGCAAGGGGCTGTCGGTGAACCGCCCTGGCCTACATCTCCCCGTAGACCAAAGACATTCGCCAACACGTAGACACAGGTCTCTCCTGGGCCCCAAGACCGACCCCCGGCCCCAGCTCTGGCCACCCGCTCCCAGCGCTGGCAAGGCACCTGCAAAAAGTAAGAGCTCATGGGGTCTTCCTTGTTGTCCTCGTTGATGAAGAGGCCCCCGGCCACGAAGACCTGGTTCTCCTTCGTCACCAGGCTGGCGTGGTTCTTGGGGATCTGGGTGGAGAGGGAGGCGCAGTAACACTCATTGGCCGCCGGATCGTAGGCCACGGCGCCCTCCTCGCTGATCATAAAGATGAGGTCCTGCAGGAACATGCCGAAGCGCAGAGTGTCGTTGAGGATGCCAGGGAGGACGCGCTCGTCCTCCTCCTCCTCCCCCTCGGCCTTGGCGTCCCCGGTGCCCTTGCTGGCCGCCTGGGGCCCGGCCGCCTCCTTCCCCTTCTCCTTCTTCTTCTTGCGCAGCACGGTGAGGCGGCCCTCGTGCGCGTCCTTCACCATCTGCACCTTCCGCAGCAGCTCGGGCTGGTTCTTGAGGCTGAGTAATATTCTATTGTATGTGCACACCACAACTTTTTATTCACTCATCTATTGATGGACACTTGGGTTGCTTCCATAGCTTAGTTATTGTGACTAATGCTACAATGAACATAGAGGGGCATATATTCTTTCAAATTAGTTTTTTGTTGTTATTGTTTCTTTGGAATTTTACCCACAGGTGGAATCACATGTCTTAGGCAGATTCATTTTTAATGTTTTGAGGAAACTCCATACTGTTTTCCATACTGGTTGCATCAATCTACATTCCCACTAAGAGTGTAAGT